ACTTGGTGATATTGAGTGGCAGGGAGTTAGCCTTGTATTCAGATTTATGGAAGCTTTCACTTGTAATATTTCTTACTCATAATGTTGGATTTGATGTTTGGAAGCACACCACGTGTAAAATACTTGAGATTCATAATTTTGATATTTTTTACTGGAGAGTGTGTGGAAACCAAGGATGATACATAGCAAGGGTGGAAAGTGACACGAGTGCGGTTGCGTCTCAGTGCTGGCGACCGCAGTGTGGTCCTGGGGTGTTCCTGCCGTGACTGGGGATGAGTGTGGCCGCCTTGGGGTGGAGGTGCTCATTGCTTTCCTTTCGGAAAGGAGATTTTAAGTTGATTTGCAAACTGGAAGCAGGTCAGTGGCACCCCAGCTTGGCCGAAGCGTGACTTCTTGGTGGAGATCATGAACTCTCGTGACAGTGCCTACCCCTATGGCCGCCAGGCATCTTCTCTGTGGGACGGGTCCCCCCTCGTCCCACACTATCTCTCATGTCAGGATCTGCTCTGTCCTCTTGAAGAGCTGGCTTGGTGGCGGCCATAGGAAAGTGAGCGAGGGCTGTTTTGATCTCCACGTGGCAGGAGGAGAGCTCTGGGCCTCATTGCTAAGGCCTTTCCCCCCACCCCCCTCCCCGCAGGCCCCTGCTCCTGCATGCCCGGGAAAGCCCTTCTGAACAGACACAGGGTCCGTCCTGTGTTCTAGAGCCAGAAGCTTCAGGGGTCCCTCTAGCTTGTCACATGTACACACTCTGAGGACTCTGGGGTCAGCCAGTTTTGCTGGTATCTGGACTGCCTGCCCCTGCCCTCTGCTCACCCAGGACGGTGTCCTCCACCTCCATGTGCCCAGGAATACTTACTTCCCTTTACTCCTTGTTGTCTACCAAGACTCCCCACCATGCCCTGTTCTAGGCCTGCTGCTGCGAGTTGCGTAGACATAGTGTGACGCTGAGATGCAGGTCAGTAAAGCTTTGTTCTGTGCCTTGATGCCGGATTGTGAGTACAGTGGGCACGTCCTTTGCAAGGGGCACCTGGCCAGCATCTGTCAGCATCCAAGTGTACCTCCCAGCCCTTTGGCAGAAGTTACCCCCATAGAGGTCCACATTACACACATCCCACACAAACTATGTCTCAAGAATGTCCTAAGTTACGGTGTGTCAGTTTGTATGAAGCTGGGGACAACCAGGACGACCTAAGTGTCCGTCATGAGGGAACCTGGTGAGGAAGTGGTGGGAATGACAGGTCATACAGCTCTGTGTATCACTAGAAAAGCAGGTACCCAGGGGCAGGTGCAGAGTGAGCTCTACCACCTACTGTTAGATGGTGTCCAACTACACAGCCTGCGCCTTGTGCAGAAAACATGCCCATTGTGTATAAAGGAAAAAAGATTGAAATTCACGTTTACACTTGGAAATGTGCTCAGCAGTCGTGGAGAGACAGCCTCTGTCAGCAGTGAGCTTGTGGGGGCCCGGGAGGAAGGGGCAGTCTTCCTTTTTACTGTTTATCTCTTCTTGTCTTTAGAGCATCACTTCATGGGGATATTTTCCTTTTTCAGTTTTCTAAAGTGGCCTAAGCATTTTATTCTGCTTTTTCTCCAGTGGCTCCTGTTGCCATTCATATTTAATTCATTTCATAATAAAAGAAAACAATAGCTCGCGTGCTTGGCCTTCCTTCTGGACCAGGTGGGCGGTGGTTTTCGTCTTTCCCTTTCTGACAGGGTGGCCTGGCGGGAGCCTTTTGTCCTGCCCGGCTGGGCGCTCACGGAGGGTCCACCCTGCAGCTGCCCCGTGGGTGTAGCCTGTGTGGAGAGGAACACCTTAGCGAAGGCGCCTGAGCTCTCCATTCTATGTTGTGGGCCTGCCTCCCTCCTCCCCTTGACTTGTAACATAAAGTCAGTTAGGAGCAGACGCCATCAGTGGCTGGAAGTTGGGGGTGAGGTCAGGAAACAACAGAGTGGTGCAGAGCCCCCGGACAGCCAGCCTGTGGTCACGCGGTCGGGTGGATGCAGCATTGCCCGGGCTTGGTAGCTGTGTCCGCACTGGTGTGCGAGTGTGAACTTGTGTCAGCAAGCGAGGCGGCGATGTTGCTGTAAGGCCGTGCATATGTTGTCAGGTGCTCATGACTGGTTCTTTATCTTTGCGTACGGACGTTTGCCCTCTTTGTGACTGTGAAATTATTCCCACTTACTGTTCTTGAGGTAGCAGTAGGCCCACGGCAGATAATAAATGCAGTGCTGAGGGGGAGGGGGAGGCTTGGGTTGGGCCGGGGAGCTTCCCTGTCTTAACTGAAGCTGCCAAGTGTGGGCTCTGTGGTCCTGTTGCCAGTTAGGCGCAGATGATGTTTGTTTTGGGGCAGAAGTTGGTACCTTTTCTGTATACTCTGAGTTAAATTAATCCTTATGTTCAGTCATACATTGAGGGAAAATAAGTTCCATTTTCAGCAGTTCTCGCTAAATTTTGTTGAGGTTTTCTTCCAACTGTACTTAATAATTGAAAGCCTCTTGTGGTTAGGAAGAGTGTCTGAGACTTTGATGAAATCTAATTATTTTGAACTCTTAAAGCCCCAGAAAGTGAAATATAAAGTCATAATAAAATTTCCTGTTAGCTTTCATAGTCTATTAGTTCATGTTGCTTATTTTAGAGGCCACAGTATCTAAATTGAAATACGCCTTCTCTGCAGTTGTAGCGATCTCTTTCTACTCTTTTAAAAATCAGCTCATTTAGCCATAGAGTGAAAAGAGCAAGAAACTGAAAAGGCCAACACACACAGGGCATGCGAGCTCCTCCTGCTTCTTCACTGAAACACTGGAAGAAGTGCCTGACCCTGCATGTACCCTGTGCGCCCACAGCACACGCTTGGGAGCAAGGGGTCTGCCCAGCAGAAGGCTGGCTTGGCTTACATGCTGTGGGGCTGATCTGGTAACAGGGCACCCCACTTCCCTGAAATCCTCATGATCATCAGTGGGAGCTGTATGGCCCCAGCAGGAAGTCTGTGTGGCCAGTGAAAGTCAGGGATCTGGAAGAAATGGGGTGGGGGGAGCGGGAGGGGAGTGATAACAATCCTTGTCCCCCAGGCCTAATTGTTCCCTGGGCTGGAACAGACCCTGAGCTGCCCTTCACCTGTCCTTGCTTGCCTGCTCCCAAGCCCCCACCCCACGGCCAGCAAATGAAAACCAGGACAACTGAGATTTCATCCTCTTATCCACGTATAGGATCGATTTAGTGGAGAAATTTTTAAAATGATGACAAACTAGGAGCGTTGCTCATAAAAATGAAGAAATGGAAACAAATAAACAAACAAAAAAAACCTGAGGCTACTGTGCAGAACTCTTTGGCAATGAATATTTGAGTAGATACAATAAAATACATCAGTTGTCACAAGAGAATGTTGATTGAAAAGAACCAGCAGATGCAAGAATGGAAATCCCCAGAAAGTGGCCAAGCAGCAAGTCCATCTGACCTGTTAGCATTCAGGGATGGGATGCCCTTGGGGCAGAGCACTCGAAGCCCAGGGGTTGCCATTCAGAAATCCTTTTTCCTTCCTTGGAGGTGGTCAGAGGCATCTGGTTCTGGATTCTTCAAATCTGTGTACTTTGTGACTGAGGGTTATGCTTGAGGGAGGGGTGGACTGACAGGGCGGTTCAGGCACTTGCAACGGTGTGTTCTGTGTGCAGGTTTCTTCTCGGGGAGAGGCCTGGCCCCTGGGGAAGTGCTGGGTCATGGCTGGCTCTTCCCTTCATGGGCTCTGGACTTCGCCTGTTAGGTCAAGTTAGTGCAGCTTCTACACTCTGTGGTGGCCACACTTGGCCCAAAGCTTCCTGGCTCGAGAAGCCACGTGGTTAAGCATGTACCTGTGACAAGGGCGGTGGCTGCAGACTTCTAGAGTAAAGGGCTTCAACTAATCAACATGAAGATTGAAGTTATAATTTGAGGATTTAACAGGAGAAAGAGAACTTGTACCTAGTGTTGTTGTTTTGTTTTGTTTTTGTTTTATACTTCTAACACACATTTAAACTGACAGGGAGAGGGAGATAATTTTATTTTTCAGAGATATTTTTCCGTGCTTTTCCCCTCTGCAGTCAGAAACTGGTTCTTCGGCTTTCAGTGCCAGGGCATTTATGCTTCAGCAAGCAGTCCACATTCCGGCCTGCTGCCTCACTCTGGGCTCTGTGCTGTCGACCGGTCAGTGGCTGAGCAGACCCAGTGCACACTGGAGGGCTGGTCCTCAGTGAGGGGGGTGTGTGTGGAATTCGGTTTATGTTATTTTATTTTGGCACAACACTGAAACCGTGCAGAAGGCCTCCTGGAAATTTGTTCTCCAGGATGCCGGAAAGGCCATGCTGTGGCAGTTTTCTAGTGCCTCAGGAAGTTTTGGGGTGTGTGTTGTTCCCCATTGCCGTTTCATTCCTTACTGCGGTTCTCTGGGGACCCTGGCACGTGGGTATAGGGGGTTCTGTGCATACTGGGAGCGTAATACCTGCGTTGTTTTGGTGGGCTATTGAGAGGGCATATTAAATAGTCAGCTGACAATATAAAGTCTGCTTTAATTGTTTTAACATTTTTGGTAATGGTATAGGCATTTCAGCGAAAGCCAGAATTGAATAATCACATGAACTTTTGTCTGCTTTGGTCTAGCAGGGTTTGACTGTGCCTGACCTTCGTCCTCACCTTTTTACTGACTGGTCACCTTCCCGCGAAGCTCAGATGCAGCGTTTAGCTTGTGCGGGCTCACAGTCAATCTAGTTGTTAATTGTTAGTATTTTTGCAGGTGATGGCTTACTGCTTTTTTTCCTTTCATTTTTGCTTTCAATAAATGTTTAAGAAATGATAGCTATAACATTTTTATGTCTGCTTAAACGTAACATGGGTGTGGTACATTTAACATGTAATATTTACACATGGTATGCCATGTAACGTGGTAGTTTGTGATAAGCCTTTACTTCATTTTGGTTAATGGAGAGTCTCATTGAGATATTTATGAAGTGCTTTATATTTGTTTGTTTAGGACATGTCTCAGGAAGGCTATGGAACTAGGTCTCAACCTCCTCTGGCTCCTGGAAAACCAAACCATGAAGACTTGAACTTAATGCAGCAAGAAAGACCATCGAGTTTACCAGTAAGACATTAATGTGCTGATTTGGAAATGTCTTGAGTTGTATTTTTTTTAAAAAGCTGTTGCTTTTGTGTGTTCTACTTTATGTTAAAACTCAGGAGAGACGTTTCTAAATTTCTGCTATATTTGTGATTCGTTACTTTTGGGGTTTCTTTCTTAGGAGCCGTGGTTAAGTCTGTTTCATTTGTAGGTGTCTGAGAGTCCAGACCTCGCTCTGAAGCATCTGTCCAGGTGACAGGAGTCGCTTCTCTCGCCCAGCTGCGTTTGCTTTAGTCCGTGGCTCTTAGGCGGTCACAGAGTGGAGGTGGCAACTGAAGAGTTAAACCTACGGAAGTTTCCACTTGGCAAAGGATATAAATGATGAAATAAAGCATCTGGTGATAATTTGAATTTCTTCTGGGACTTCATATGTAATGAGAAGTCACCCAGTCTTTGCTCAAAAGAAAGTATTTTAGTTTAAAATTAGAAAAAGCGGCTTGTAAGTGTTTTCACTGTTAAGCAATTGGGGCATTTATCGAAGAGAGTAGTGGCTGTATTATGGGGTGTCGTGGTGAGGCCCAGAAATAGTTAATCGGTGCTTAATTTGCTTTTTTTTTAAAATAGACTATCTAGTTTATATGATTTTTTTGCTATAAAATGAAAGAATACATCTGTGCGAACGCATTTTTATACTTATTTTGATGTGAAACTTTTGACTTGAAGCTTAATCTCTATTCAGAGTTTTATTTAGGCTGGAGGTTCAGGCCGTGACTTTAATTTGAATTTCAAGTATGTTTACATTGAATGAGATTTATTATGTTTCTTGTGAGTAGCTGGCACACTCCGCCTACCCTAAATTCCGGGCCTTGGGAAGAAAGTGAGTGGTGACTTGCAGGGCGCTTGAAACCTGATGCACGTGTGTTTGACCCTAACTTTTACAGCTTTCAGGTCTGTGGAGGTGGTTGAAGTATATCGTGATCATTTTTTAGTCTCAGTGAAGTATTGTCTAGTTCTTTGGAAAGATGACAGATTCTGTGTTTTATGCTATAAGCTCTTTTCCTTAGCAGCTAACTCACAGCTTGGTGGGTGTGTCGTGCAGGCAAGTGCACGCCTGATAAATACAGTGTTTGCTGAGTGTGTGAAAATTGGCCTGTGTTTTGAGGAAATGGAAGGTCACATGTGGGCAGCAGCGGACAGTGACGTCCTCTTTCCCCACCAGGTTCTCAGTGTTTCAGAGACGCTCAGCTCTGCGGTCAGTTGCTGGCTGTGCCTGGTGCTTGTGGCATCACTGCCTTTGGTGGCTCTGGCTGGAAGGGGTGAATGGCGCCCAGGCCCCACAGCCTATAGAGTGGGAGTGGAGTGCGGCCTTCCTGAAATCCGACGGAAGAGTTCAGTCCTGGGATGAGTGCTTTTTAAGTCAATTGCTGGAAAGGGGACCAAGAAAGTTTTTTAGGAAACGAACCAGTAGTATATCTAGCCGTTATTTTAAAATGTTCTGAATTGTTGTGTTTATACACATGCAATGGTTTGCTTTCTTCCTTAACTTTACCTTGCCTACTTCCTAAGGGGACATAAGGATGTGCATGATACAAATATTCTCATGGAACTTATAAAAAAGAAATACCCTCATTGGTATTTTCATTCTGTTTTGTAACTCACTGACTCAATAACATTTCAATAACCTTTCTTTTGGAGAGCAAAGTCCCAGATTTCACGGTGAGTATGTAGAACTATCTGTTACTGAACAAAGGACAAGCCATAAATGAACTGGTGTTCTACCTACCCTGTTAAGATGGAAAATGGCTTCATTAAATGGATTTTAATGTGCCACTTCTCTTCATTGGGCCTCATTTGGAAAACGTGCCTCTCTGGGGTTTCAGATACATTGGCATGTGTGTGGGCTGCACCAATGTGTTGTTGGGCACAGTAAGGTGTGAGTTTATGCATTGGTGTTTTGGAAGGCTCTCTATCATGTGTTTTTTGTGTCACATTTTATCAATATTTTACTTCTCTAACCTGGCTAAATTAATACTGTAGTTACTGTAAAAGCTATTTGTTTTCCCATCTGCATTTGCTGTTGGGTCTTTTGTAGCTGTATTTTCCCTTTTCAAGTGTCGGTGATACACATTTTGTCTTGTTACTTATGGTGAAGACAATCTGTCTTTTTTTTTTTTTTTAAATAATAAATTTTATTTTTATATTCCCCCATACAATTGCAAACGCCCCATTCTGACCCCAATCCTTCCCCTCCCGCCCCCCACCCCCCAAGACAATCTGTCTTATGTGCAAACTCTAGTTTTGTAATTTGGAACTAAGGAAATTGTAGATCCTATCTGTCCATCTTTTTAAAGTATAATATAGTGGTTCGAATGTCTAGTTGTTATCTTTAAGCAATATATACGTAATTATAAGAAGATGCTTCTCAAGTAGGTATTAATCTTTTTGCTTATATTGAAATGGACCTTTCCTATATTTTCTGCACATGGAATATTTTCTTCAGCATGTTTGTCACAGTCAACTTTGTGTTAGTAGAAGTCAGGACATAGCAGCGCTCTTCCTCTGGATCTGCAATTTCACCCCTCAGTTAGCCTGTCCTCTCACTAGTGCCGAGACCTGATAGTCTGTACTCCCAGGCCAGCCCAGTCTTGGTGATACTTAGTAGCAAATACAGTTATGCTCTCCAGCAGACTCAGATCCTCAGAGCACCCACATAGAGCAAATGACCATGATTTAAATTGTCGTGTTGTTGTGGAACCAGGACAAATAACATTAATTTTCCTCTGTTCCAAGGCCTAGTCTCAGAATCACTTCCCTAAATAATATCCACTTATTTCTATACCTCTTCCTCATACTGCTTTCTCCCTGTTGAGACAGGTGAGCTCATACTCACACCCTTGGTGTTACCATTAACAGATGTCAGCACACGATATGAAAATTAGCTTCAAGAACTCTTTCTGACAATATTTTCAGTCCAAATTTGAGAACATTCTGTAGTTTTTCCTACCTTTAATATTAGTATGAAATGAAGACAGCATTCAAGTGAAATATGCAGTGGAAAGTCTAGAGGATGCTGTAACTTCACGCCTTTGTTTTATAAGCATTGAGTACATCCTAATTCACATTCCAAGATACCGTCCAAATATTGAAAACACTTTTTGTTGAGTGTTCTGTTACATTTTCATTTCTTGTGGTATTTACTGTTCTTCCTCTCATTATAGTTATTTATATGTGTCTTGGCTCCCCTCAGATTAAGATTTTTGTATTTATTGTGTTTTATCCAGTAAGTGTCTTTCTAATAGAATTTATGTGAAAACTTTTAAAGTACATTTCCTCCCAGTTTCAAAACTTTCTTTTAATTGCTAAGAGATCTTTCCCAAGGTACTGACTTGACATCAGGAGAATCTGTATCCTCCACAGGCTACCGCTACTGAAGAGTGATGAGTGGCACCTGCACTAGCGGGCAGTGTTAATTTTCAGACCATGTCCTTTTATTATAAGATGGCATTTGAGTTTTATCCTGATAATCCTGAGTTTCAAAAGAAGTAGACATTTTGGGACAGTTAAGTTAAAAGTAGCATGAAAATTATTTTCTTAGTAATACTTATTTTTAAGTGTTATAATAAATCAGCAGAACCGGCAAAATCTTAATCTCAGTAATCATAGTACATAGATAGCTTTGTTAATAAAATATATGTAAACATGTATAAAAGAAAGTAAAAAGAGGTTTTTTCTAGTTCTAAACAAATAGTGCTCTCTCGGATCTGAAGAGTTGCTAATACATCTCATTTTAGAAAAAACTAGTTTATTTTATCTTCAGAGTGGTCTGCCCCCAGTCTGCTCAGTTGTAATCCAGTAACCTTCAGAAGGCTCGTCCATCATTAGGAACCTCTTTCTGACCCTTTCTTTCTTAAATAGGAAATATCTAAAGAAGGTGACTTTTTCAGATCTTTCTGAGTTAAGTAAAAACCCTACCTGTCCTGTGGAATACTGCTTATGGCATTTTTTTGCTTTTACAATTAGCAGGAAATACCGAGCCTTGGATGAAACATGGTTTTTGACCCTTTGTAAAAGGAAGGAGGTAGTAAATGCTGGTTGTCCGTTGAAATAAAGGGTGTTGAACAGGATATTGGAAGTCTGAAAAACAGTGGGGGTTAGGAATTAGCCTATAGTGTTCTGCCTACTTAAGAAAATAATCTGTGTGTGTGTTTTGTTTGACTTTGTTTTACATCTTTTTTTTTCTTATAAAGATTATTTTTATTTATGCATACAAGATCTGAGGTACAGGCCAGAGGTGTGAGGGGTGAGAGGATTCACCAGAGACAGAGTGAGGAGAACAGGCAGATTGACTGAAATACACTGCTGAGGGGAGCAGCGGGCGAGTCAGGAGAGGTCTGCTGTGCCATGTGGGTAGCTCCCTGGCTGGGAAGCAAAGTTGTGCTGCAGTGGCTACGGGTGGCTTCATAGGTTGTGTCTTAACCCTTTGTGCCACCAGGGAGGCCCTGGGGATTTTGTTTTACATCTTTAATGACATGTGTTGGGTGGGAGTAGAAGGTGATGTTCCTTGAGAGTGTATATGAATATCGATGACAGGTTAGTAGGGATATTTTAAGTGTATAGATTTGATAATATAAGTCCTATGGAAAATAATTGGAAAAAGCACATTTCAACGGGGTTTTGCTTTTCATCAAGTTTTCAATCCAACACGAATATAATTTGCTAAAGCAATCTTAGTCTGTTAGTTGGCAGGTGTTTTTCAAGAATTAAAATCTATGCAATGATTTTAGGGTAGGAATGAGATTTTGACTGCTGAACCTGTTTCAAGCTTTTGTTTCTTGAGCTTGATTTAAATGATTTTCATGGAAGGTCGGGGTGCAGCTGGTTAGGCTGATTGTCTGCAGGTCATCCTGAACACTCCAGTGTGAACTTTGTTAATACAAGTATGTATCAGGGCCTAGGCCCTGCTCATCCCTATGTGGCTGCAGACTGTGACCTGCTCTCGGGGTTTGGCGGGGTTTGGGGTCCTG